CAATATCACGTCGGTCATGTGTACTTTTACCCATCATGGTGTAACGACCCAACTGGTTGTTTTGAGCTTTTGCACTTTGCTCATTGGTTCGCGGGCATGAATTGCCTTTTGTGATGGATTATGACTTATTTAAATCATTGGTTTTGGTTTTCAGGGTAATCGAAGTGAATTTGGAAGAACAGTTCCTAGTTTGAAGCTTGAAATTTGAAAAGTTTGACCAAGATTTGACTTGCTAGTATATGATCTCGGATCAAAATTTTTATGATTTGGTTAGCTTTGTTAGGCGATTCGGGACTTAGGAGCGTGATCGGAATGCATTTTGGAAGTCCGTGGAAGGTTTAGGTTTGAATTGGCGAAATTGAAATTTTGGCATTTCTCGGTTGATAGATGAGATTTTTATATAGGGGTCGGAATGGAATTCTGGAAGTTTTAGTAGCTCAAATATGTCATTTGTGACGTGTGTGCAAAATTTCAGGTCATTCGGACGTGGTATGGTCGGGTTTTTGATCAAAAGCGTAATTTTAGAATATTTTGGAATTCTTAGGCTTGAATTCGATGCAAATTTGGTGTTTTAATGTTGTTTCGAGCGTTTCGAAGGTTGGAACAAGTTTGAATGATGTTATGGGATATATTGGCATGTTTGGTTGAGGCCCCGAGGGCCTCAAGTGAGTTTCGGGTGGTCAATCGGACCATTTCATGTTGTGAAAAATTGCAGAATTGTTGTTGTTGGTGTTGCAGGTTTTTGACCTTCACGTTTGCGATGCTTGTCCTGTGTTTGCAAAGGGTTAAGGTGCGAGGCTGTGAAATTGGCCTTTGCATTCGCGAGAATGGTTCCGCGATCTCGAAGGTGTGAGGTCTATGGTCATAGTGTTCGCGAGGTTTAGGTCGCGTTCGCATAGAGGAAGAAGGATAGCTGGGTCCTCAGTACATTTGTTCTACGCATTCGCGTAGTTGGGGTCGCGATCACGAAGTATTGAGTGTGTTGTGCATCGCGTTCGCGAGAGCTTTCTCGCGTTCGTGTAGAAGAGATTCCGGTCAGTGAAGCAGTGTGCTTTGCGAACACGAGGGCTATGCCGCATTCGCGATGAAGAAATGTCTGGGCAGACAGTTTATATTTTTAAATCGAGGGTTTAAGTCCAATTTCATAAAAACTATTGGAGAGCTCAGGAGAAGGTGGAATTTGAGGAGATTTTCAGTGGAGCTATTGGGGTAAGTATTCTTCACTCATATTTTGTTTAATTCCATGATTTGATCTTGAATTTCATCATTTAATTCAAGAAATTAGAGTGGAAATTGCGGAAAAATGGAAGAAAAGTTTGAGATTGTTCCCTTAGCATATTCTAATGGTTATGTACTGATTGTGGCTAGATTTGGAGCATCTGAAGGTCGATTCGTGAGGGCAAAGGCATCGCGAGTTAGAGATTGGACCGGATCGAGCTAAGTAATGATTGTAAATGCAGTCCTGAGGGTATGAAACCTTGGATTTCACATTGTTATGCTACCTTGAGGTGACGCACATGCTAGATGACGAGCGTGGAGTCGTGCACCATTGGGAATTGTGACTTGGTCCATCCTGTACGACTGTTAAGTCGAGTATTTGATTTGAAATCTTATGATATTCCATATTTTAGAGATTAATATTATATTTTGGGTTGTATGCCATATTTGGGGCCTTGTGCTGACCTGTTGAGACCCTTAGGGGCATTTTTACTATTTTCCTCACTCTATTTCTTTTGAAAGCATATCCTAAGTCATGATTTACCTTTTTATTGTTTAAACCTGGTTTTATCACTCTAATTCTTAAAATATGAAAACTGTTTGGGCTGAGTTCCCTGTTTTACTGATGGTCCTGAGTGATTGTGCGGTTGATGACTGAGATAGACCGATGGTCTGATTGTTAGGGTATTAACTAAGATAGACCGAGGGTCTGATTGTGAGGTTAATGACTGAGATAGACTGAGGGTCTGATAATGAGGTTAGTCACTGAGAGAGGCCGAGGGCTGGTTGTGAGGATTATATATATTTGGATCGGGCTGCACACCGCAACAATATATATATATATATCTCTGTGTGTGTGTGTGTGTGGATCGGGCTGCACGCCGCAACGATATATTGGATCGGGCTGCACGCCGCATCGATATATTGGATCGGGTTGTACGCCGCATCGATATAGCGCTTGGGCAGTAGGAGTCCCTCCGGAGTCTGCACACCCTAGTGAGTGCAGTCGACTATATATATGGATGGGGCTGCACGCCGCAGCGATATATGGATTGGGCTACGCGCCGCAACGGTTATTATATGGTACTTATTGAGTGTGAGTGCTAAGTGTAAGCGCTGACTGATGAGAGTTGTGTTTCGAGTGACTGAGAGGCTTGCCCGAGGGGCTGTATACAGATATGAGTGACGCTTTGCCCGAGGGGCTTGTTTTTATGAAATTTCTGATTCCACTCCTTTTTATACTGAGCCTCTATTGAAAATGTTGAACAAATGCTTTTAACCATCTTTCATTTAAGCTGGAGTTTTTATGAGATATTCGGTATTTAATCATTGGTTTTGGCTTTTGTGATTTCCATTGAGACTTTAATGATATGAGGTGTTTATGATTCCTGTTTTGACGAGGGGCCAATTATGGTTTTCATCTCTTTTATTATAAATGGTATTGAACCACTACGAAAACTGTTGGAAAGCATTTTCAAATGATTTTACCAAAAGCTGGTTTTTAAATGAGACGGTTGACTCGTATTCTGATTTAAAAGCTTGTTATGCTTATTGAGTTTATCATAAATGTTGATTCATCGTTTCCTACTGCTCAGTCTTGATTTACCCTTATTACTTACTGGGTTGGAGTACTCACATTACTCCTTGCACCTTGTGCGCAGATTCAGGTATTTCGGAACCCGGTAGCGGGTGTTGATTGCTCAGAGGCGGAGTCGTCAGAGTTAGCAAGGTGGCTGCATGGTGTTCGCAGCACTGCTTTCCTTCCTCATTTTTCATTACTGTATTTAGCACATTTTTAGACTCTTGTTGTATTTAGACCTTGGTAGATGCTCATGACTAGTGACACCCCGATGTCGGGCTTGTATAATTATTACGCACTTTACTTTTGAATTTTAATATGAGATTATTGGTTTATAAATAGTATAAAAACAATTTTTATTGGAAAATGGTTGATTCGAGAGTTGTGTCGGCTGGCCTAGTTTCACGATAGGCGCTATCACGACCAAGTCGATTTTTGGGTCGTGACAAGTTGGTATCAGAGCCTAGGTTACATAGGTCTCACGAGTCATGAGTAGGTTTAGTAGAGTCTCGCGGATCTGTACAGAGACGTCTGTATTTATCCTCGAGAGGCTGCAGAACCTTTAGGAAAATTTTCACATTCTTGAATTCTTATCGTGCGTCCTTGATTCAGCTTGAAAAGTAACTCTTTGAATTCCTTCCACGCGTCCGTATGCGCGCATGAGCTCTCGGTATCAGATGTGCATCGATGGCTTGTCATTCCCCGATCAAGGGGCGAGATGTGATCTCTGTGTGTTGATGTTGGGCCAGTCTGGAAGACTTGAGGCCGAATTTTTGCCTATAGCTCGAGCCCTGAGCTATTGATTTCGTGAGCGCGTGCTTCTGGATCTATATGTTCTGTTGTGTTCCTATTAAGTAGAGTAATGACTGGATAGCTACGTAATGAGTATGTTGTGACTGCGAGGTGTATTCATATGATTTGGAAACGTCAAGAAGGGTCTGCTGGAGGATAGAAGAACTATTAGGTACTTGATTTTCATCTCGATTTGAGGTATAGCCCCGAGTTATGGGTGTGTGTAGAATCTTTTCATGTCTCCTATTTGGGAATAAAGTAAATTTCATGTGCGATATGAGTTCAGACTCAGGAAGATTAAGTGACTGCGTAACATTTATGACGGTGGAATGTATACAGAAATGCCAGTTTGGGGCAAAGCAGGTGGGTTACCTCCTACGGAGTGTTCTGGGGTTGTGTGATCCTTATGTTGTCAGTTAGAAGATCTCATTTATAACTGAAATATCTATGTTGAAATTTAAATTTGGGTCGCTTAAGAGAGTGGGTTTAATTGTTACGAGAGTGAATGCGAGCTTTGCATAAGAGTTAAAGTACCAGATGGTCTGTGTTTCACAAGCTTATGAAGGATTAAGTAGAGTATATGTGTTATGAGTTATTGACTGTGTTTTGATATATGGCTTCGAGCCAAGTGGGGGAGTATGATATGGATTAGTTGATTGCACGGTTATGTACTATGTTGGTTCCAGTTTGAGGCGTGCAGGTGAATCAGTTATGGCTTACAGAGATTGAGACCGAGGATTGTGAACACCTAATTTTTGCACTATTTAACACCTCCTAAAGTTATTAGTGTTTTGTTATTTTAATTATTTTTCTCAATTTTTGTGATTTTAATTGCATCTTTCCTATCATAAAATATTAAAAAAAATAGTTCTTTCTTCATTTGTGCATTTTAAGAATTAACTAGTTGTTCAGTCGGTGAATTAATCTAGTTAATTGATCATTTATTTAATTAATTTATTTGTGTAAAATTAGTTTAATAAGTAGGATTAAGGAAGAAATTTGGCCAAATTTTAAAGAAAAAGTGTCCAAGAGTGCAAGATAAATGGCTGCCATTGAAAGGGTCTGAAACTACGTAGTTTTGCCTCAAAACGACGTCGTTTCACTTAATGAAACAAGATCAAATCATACCCATCCATTCCATCTTGATCCAATGGATCTCATTCACTCTTGGCTTAGGTATTTAAAGCCTCAAAAATCTGAAAATTGTCCTCATTTTCACCCATAATTCTTTTCTCCTTCTTCTCTCTCTCTTCACTCTCTCTACGCCGCCCCAGCTCCGCCCACCGCTGCTGGCCAGAAATCGCCGCCGCCGGCGGACCACCTCCAAACAACTCCAAATTCATACCATGTAATCTCCACAACATCCTCCATCCATATCTCCAAACCAAATCCTTCAAAAATCCCTCAAACTCCTTGAATCTTAGATCTAAGAAACTTTCCCGTCACTTTTTTGCCCAAATTCTTGAAGCTCCAACCACTATCACCCCACAATACTTACATCAATGGATAGAGCTCCTCAAGACCTAGCTATTGATGCCAATTTCACCATGAAAATTCGGCGATCAAAATCCGGCCAAATTCCGGCGACTTCCCCGAACACCCTCTTTTGGCATACCACCATTTTTTCGGCCACTTGAATTATAAAATGGTAAAAATCCTATTATTTTTCGTGGCTGATTTTTTATTTTATTTTTATTTTTCAGATCTTATTTTTGTCTATTATTAATTATTGTAGCATTAGTTTTTGAAGTTTGAAATGTCAAATTTTCTATTTTTGCACTTGTTGAAGTAGTAAAATAGTTTTGTGTTGATAAAAGTGAGGTAGTGAAAAATACTTAAGAGTATATGGTACTTGTTTGATTGTTTATTTACAACTTCAAGACTCTTTGAGTACAACACTCAAAAGTCAAATTGTTTGGTAAGAAAATGTAGACCTTTGGACAGTGTTTGAATAAAAGTCTGTCTTGAATAGTGGAGAGCAGATTTTGTAGAAAAATCTGTCAAGAAGATTGATTTTTAATTTTTTTAAAATAGCTGATTGTTTTGATATAAAAGAAGAACACTCCATCTTACTGAGGGAGCTAGACACACAAAAAGAGAAAAAAAATCAGTAGCTATAATATCCCTTAGCAGCTTTTGTGAGTTGATTCTTAAGTGAAAAACTTGTTTAAGGAAAATAGAGTAGTCTTGAAAGATTTTTCTGGAATTACATAATTGTACTGTTTTGCTGGATATTTCTAGTTTATTTTCTTGGGTTTGAATCTGCCGGTTGTCGTTGTCTTTTGCTGTTGTTGCTGCCCGTTTAATTGTTCTACTGTTGATTTTGGAAAAAGCTGACTCTACTGTATTTGTTCTTCTTTCTGCTGTCCAGGTAATTTTCGGACCATGTAAACTCATAAAATCGAGTTGGAATGAAAGATAATGACGCTGGGAAATATTAGTAGCTTTATCCTTCTATTGTAATTCATTTTTATATGCTCTTGAATGTTTGATAATGTTATAACGATATGTTAGTTAATTAAATTGTGTTAAGCATCTTTAATTATTTTTATTTTTGCAAAGCATTAGATATAATTCCACTGGCATTTGGTTGTCTGAAAGGAGCATATATATTAAAATTTGAACCCTTGTAGCCATGTTTATCCCTTTGTTATCAACAAGCTAAGTTTTTATTATTATTATTATTATTATTATTATTATTATTATTATTATTATTATTATTATTATTATTATTATTATTATTATTTTTTAGAGTCCCAATAATCTTTTTTTTATCTCTTAAAAAATACTTATTTAGTAAGGTAGTTAAGTTGTAGATTAGAAATACAATCTGTAAACTTATTTTTGTAAATAGTTGGCTACGGATTGCAAATAGCAAGATGTGGCCAAATCTGTAACATAGCTTTAAAATGCCATATCTGCAGATTTAAAGTCCAAAAGCATATGGGCTTTTGGATTTTGTCTTGGACATGAGCCCATTTGACTCCATCAACCCAATAGTGGGCTGCCACATTCAATGTCAAGACAAGCCCACATCTTACTAGTTTTAAGCAATGTCAATTGATAATTTTCTCTCATTACTCTCATCTTTTAAATTAGTACTAATAACAATAATTTTCTCTCGTTAGTTAAGTTATAGATTATTATTCAAATCTTTTCTTTAATTTTTTTTTAAAATAAATAAAAACGGTCATAAGAAAAGCATAAAAATCAAATAAACCACAGTTTATCCAAGTTTAATTCAAGCCAAATGTAGACAATAAAGCAACCGTGCTAGAACCACGAGACTCAGGGAATGCCTTACACCTTCTCCCCGATCAACAGAATTCCTTACCCGGACTTTGTTTTCGCAGACCAATAATAATAGAGTCAAACCTTCCTTTGAATAGGGATTCGAATAAAAGGTGACTTGGAACCCCAGTAAAAATCAATTCCAAGTGGCGACTCTGTAAATAAAATAATCCTTACTTCAAATTTGTCACTTTAATTGGAAAAGCTCTTTAACCCACAATCCGTTACATTTTGCACACATATTTCTTGGAGGGAGAAAAGAGGTGTGACAGCTCTGCGACTCTGCTGGGGAAAACCAGAATTCGAGCTTGTACATGTTGACTTTTATTTGGCTTTATTGATTTTGTATATACTGTGATTTATTTGGGTATAATGTGCTACTTGTTTGCTTTTTACCGCTTTGATATTTTTGAACGGTACATATAAAATGTCTTCTCCCGCACCCCCTCCGAGTCTTCTTGAATTAAAATTGGGCATTTGCTTGACATAGCCCACATTCTTTGAGATAGCCGAGGTGTTTGTCACCCGGTGAAGGATTTTAGTCACACCTATTTTAGGCGGGGAGCACCACCAGTTAAGCCGGAAAGCAATGCTACCGGTACACTGACCCTCCTCGGCTCGAGTTGTCCGCTCGAATAAGCTAATCTAGATACCTTTTCCACCAAGATTTAAACCTAGGAGAACAAACCTCATACCGGATTTTCCTAGTAGGTTCGCTCTATGTGCATAACATGTATTTGACTTAGCGAAACTTGGCACAGGGGCCGGGTTCGTATAAGACAGGTATCCTATTTGAGACCATCATGTTCACGTATGTGCTACTTGATACATCATTTGGAAGGCTTACTTGCATTGTCGACCGGCTTTAGAAAATTAGTGTAGCAGAATTATTAAAAAAAAGGTACCCAGTTTTACCGAACTACGCGGGTCTGATTCCCATCGGATGTGAGATACGTAGGCAAACCTCATCGGTTCCGGCCCCCAATTTTCAAAAAAAAAAAATTCAAATATATTTCCCTTTACTTCTTTCTTTAGAAAATAATTTCTCAGAGACCCCAATTTTTAAAAAAAAATCAAAAAAAAAATTCAAAAATATTTTTCTCTTTTTTCTTTTATATAAAAAAAAATCAAAATTAGATTTTTTTTCTTCAAAAATCACAAAAAATAAATAAATGAAAGAAAAAATCGAAAATTACAAAAAAAAAATGTTGAATTCCAAAATATTTTTTTTCTGCTTCAGAAGTTTTTCTTTCAAAAATTGAAAAACAATATTCGAAATTCAAAAATATGTTATTTCTTCTTTAGAAGTGTTTATTTCAAAAAATTCCAAAAAAAAAAATCAAAAAAAAAAATCGTTTTGATTAAATAAAAAGCGATAGAGACGAAAAAAAAATCAAGAGTGATTAAATAGAGGTAGAAATAAAAGAAAAGAGGTACATACTTAAAGGGTTAGTTAAGGCCGGGATGAAACATGCAACCGTTCAAATACATGGCGGAAATGTTTAACTATTAGGTGCATTGCATCCCCAACGTGCGATTTCCTATGTGTTAAATGTCTCAAAACTAACGAGGTTGTGGTGTGAGCAAATTAGTCAGGTTCTGTTCAGGTGGTTGGTTTTGTTGGTATGCAGTGATGAACGCGCAACCTTGCACGCGGCCACAACATTATACACAAAACCGAGCTCTACCTCCCAGAAATGCACATCCTTACCCAGCTCCATATAATCCCCAACCAAATGATCTCCGATACAATCCTCGCCCAAGAGAGCCTTTCAGAAAGAATCAGTTCACCCCTATTGGTGAATCGTATTCAAGCTTGTTCCAAAAGCTAATCAGGCTAGATCTATTGCAGCCAGTGGCCCCGAAATGGCCGAACCCCGAGTCCCCCTCGCACCGAGCTGATGCTAGATGTGAATACCACTCTAGAGCAGTGGGACACAGTACAGAGGACCGTTGGACCCTCAAAAGGGTAGTTGAAGATTTGATTGAAACTGAAAGAATCGTTTTTCGGGATGAAGAAGCTTCTGATGTGATGAACAATCTGTTGCCTGCCCACAACATTGGGCCAATGGTTAGAATGATTTGTGAAGCTGAGGGATTTGATCCGGCATCGAAGGCCATTGCAGCCTTTGCCGAGATAGAAGAAAAGCCAAAAATGGTCGCTAAGCATGAAAGTTCCCCATCAAACGGGAGTCTTAGTGGCCAGTCTTGCTATCCTTTCTGCATCCGGATTATCTCAGGGTGTGATCCGGATGTTTTAACTTATTGTCTTACTTTCTGAACCCTTCTATCTTCAAAAAATTGAAAAAAAATCAAATAAAAAAAAATCAAAAATCAAAAAATCATTTGACATGATTCTCATGAGTTCAGACTCATGAAGTAAATTTCTGTGCGATATGAGTTCAGACTCAGGAAGATTAAGTGACTGCGTAACATTTATGATGGTGGAATGTATACAGAAATGCCAGTTTGAGGCAAAGCAGGTGGGTTACCTCCTGCAGAGTGTTCTGGGGTTGTGTGATCCTTATGTTGTTAGTTAGAAGATCTCATTTATAACTGAAATATCTATGTTGAAATTTAAATTTGGGTCGCTTAAGAGAGTGGGTTTAATTGTTACGAGAGTGAATGCGAGCTTTGCATAAGAGTTAAAGTACCAGATGGTCTGTGTTTCACAAGCTTATGAAGGATTAAGTAGAGTATATGTGTTATGAGTTATTGAGTGTGTTTTGATCTATGGCTTCGATCCAAGTGGGGGAGTATGCTATTGATTAGTTGATTGCACGGTTATGTACTATGCTGGTTCCAGTTTGAGGCGTGCGGGTGAATCAGTTATGGCTTACATAGATTGAGACCAAGGATGGCTCGAGTAACGGAAAATTTTGATAAAGGTTATTTCATGCTTCATAGGTGTATGGGAATCACGGAATGTCTTAAGTTATTGTTGGTAATGGATGCTCGGCGCATAGAGCAGGAAGTTGTTTGGTTGTTCTAGGATGAGGTTACACTCTACGGTGTTGGAGTGCTATTGAGGCACGGGTGGTTTGGTCGTTGGATCATGCTAATTGCAGTTAGAATAGAATGAATGACTCTCGAGAATGGTTCTAATGTTTTCAAGATTTTACATGTAACAATTGGGTATTTTCAAGTTATATATGTGGCTAGAAACTGAGTTTTCATTGGTAGATATCAAGACTTGTGATATTTTCTATATTAGTTATGGGATTCCATATATTAGTATCAGGAAGGTGAAGGTAACAGATTGAGTTTTGCGGTAAGTCTCTTCAGAGTAAGTATTTTGAATGTGGCACTTTTGGGAATACTTAAGAGAGTAATCAACGACTTATGAGTCTTAGACGGTATGGTTTTATGCTTGGGTCTCGCGTGGTGAGTCTGGGTTGAGGAATTGTAGTGTTATAACAAGAAGGAGTATCAAGTTAAAGGTAAATCAAAAGGAAACTTGGATAGATGGGATAGCTTGGTAGTAGGCCGGATCAGTGTGGTGAGGATATGATTAGTTCTTTGGATGCTTATGAGGTAATGAGTTTATATAGGTGTTTTGCAACAATGCTCTTGGGTTTTAGTGGCCTACTTAGCTTGGTTAAGTTAGAAGATTCAGTCCTGACGATTTAGTGGTGTGCAAATGGAATTCTGAGAGCTCTAGATGGTTTCCACCACAATTAGAGAGGTATATTGTTTTCTATTGGGCGTGATGAGCATGGGATGTATAGTGATTTACCTCTAGATGGGATCAATGGGAAGTTATTGGCTAGTGGAGTACATAGTTGCTTATGGTTCGGAAGGGATATGAAGTTCTCATGGTTATCCTAGGATGGTACGGGTTACGCGATAGGTTGTGTAGGATTGAGATTTGCATGTGTAAGGTTACGGTTCGGATTTGAAAAGGGAGGTCACAAATTCTTAGATAGCATGGGCAACTTCAGGTGACTAGATAAATGAGACCACTGATTGGTGTGGCTTGATGAGGGTATACATTTCAGATAGGGCGATATGTTTGAGTTATGGATGCTTTATTAGTATTGCGGCACTATCTTTTCCGATCGTCTGATGATATTCGAGTCTGCTTGGTGGCACAAAAGAATTATAGGTGTACCTCTCATGAGATGATTGAGTACTAGAGGTGTGTTATATATGCGAGCGGCGGAATTGGGATCAAATATGGTAATTTGTGTTCTTTATGGACTTGGAGACTAAAAGTTCTCATATACAGGTTAGCTCGTGGTTGTGGACCGCAAAGATGTGGGTAAGTTAGTCAGATGATA